CGACGGCCCAAGAAAGGAAAGTGCTGGAGTGTCCGGGCTTAGTGAGGATGGACCAAAGGAAGGCCCATCGACTTTTGTGGGTGATGCAGTGTGAAGGTGACTGCTCGCTTGTCCGTTTGTGAAAACCAACCTTGCAAAGCCTCCCGGAGTCACCCCCCCCTTACCCTCTGCGATCGGCCATTTCTGTGGCAAAAATGGGTCTCCATCTACTTTTCCATGGCGCACACCGTGTGAAAACACATTTGCAGGGACTCAGGCCAAAAAATGCAGGTTGTGGGGTGCCAGAAATTGACTTTGGGATAGTTTTTTTCTTCTCTGAGACTCTCTTCATTTCTGTGAGCCTCTTAACGTCTCTCAGAGTCACCGTCTTTGAGGGGAAATACAGCTGGCAGAGTCACCATTTGACTGGACTTTGTGATTACTCTTTCCAATCGAGATTTTGCGCAACTTTTCACAATGTGATACAGCGCCACATGCGCTCGGAGTTTTTTCATGTCGTCTCTTTGTCTTTGTCTGTCGCGTCTGTATGCTTGATTCTCACGGTATGTTTCGAGTGCGGTCTTGCGCACCTCCACGTGCAAATTTCTATTGGACACACAAACTGGGATGAGATTATTCGGACTGTGGTAATGTTTGTTTTGTCACAATCTATCACGTTTGTATGCTTTCTGTTAAAATCTGAACTAAAAAGTCAAAAACTTAATTAAAGACTCGACCTAGGCTACCAGCCGGGGACACCCGGATCACTGCCGTAGCAGGACAAAAGAAGGTCCCAGAAAAAAAAAAAAAAAAAACTGGAAAAAACTATGTTATGCGGAAATGAACTGGACAACTTTTGCCTCAGGGCTACATCGGAATACTTTACCAAATTTAAAATGCAAAAAATAAAATATAATATAATCTTATAATTAATATATAATATATATAACCGTAGGCAGAGTGGGAGAAGAGGACAAACAAAGGAGGGACTGTGGCATATATATATACATATATATCGTCAAATAGAACTGCCCGGTAAACCGTAGGCAGAGAGGGAGAAGGGAGAAGAGGACAACAAACGAGGGGCTGTGACAAACTGTTTCGTCGGAGTTTCACCGACTCATCAGGAGGCTGAACCCTATATATATATATTTTTTTTTCAGTGTTTTTGGCCCACCCGTCCCAGTGGTCACGGGCCACTCTGGTAGCCTAGGACTTGATATGTTTGATGAGGATTACAAAATTCACATCACAAAAGCAGACAAACAGAAGAGAGAATTCCAGTTGAGGGGTCGTCAATTTACAGGATTTGGTTTGGCCAAATGGCTTATAGTCTGATTGCATGTCGTGGGTTGACCGAGCTATGCACATTATTCATGACTGGGCTGAACAATTTCCCCCGCACTAATGAGCTTCTTTTCATTGAGTGAGTGATTGTTTAATCTAACTATTGAATTACTACATTACTTTCTGAAAAGTTAGGCTAGATCCCAGTATCTATCCATCCTTCGACCGTGTCTCCATGCTAGGTCCCATTGTGCATCGCCCAACTGTGTGGTTAGTATTTTGTGAAAAGTTGGGATGGGGTCTGTGCATTTACAAAACTGTGAAAAATTGGGCTAGACCCCCAGCTTGGATCGCCCAACTGTGTGTTTATTACGTTTTGAAAAGTTTGGCTCTTCATAACATGGACCACTGACTCCACATTTTTTGTTTTGAAATTTCGGGCTATAGATGCTGAGAAAGAGAGGCACACACAAATGCAAAGAGAGAGAGGGAGAGAGAACACGAGAGATAATTCGTCTAAACCAAGAATAGCAATAATGTCTTGTAATTCTTTATAACGCTGCAAAGTTTCTTTTACTCCTTGAGCAGTTTCATAATGTTCTTCTCCTACGATCCATTGAAAAGAGAACAAGCGAGCGAGCGAGCGCACACACGCGCGCGCAAGAGAGAGAGAGAGAGAGAGAGAGAGAGAGAGAGAGAAAGAGAAAGCGGAAGAAAGGATCTTATCGCTCCAACCACCCTGTGTCACTATTTGTTTCCCAGGTGGGGACGCTATCATGACAGGACAGCATACATTTTGAGCCTGCTTGCATTCGCATCATCACTCTTTGCCAGTAAAGTCATGAGCTTGTCAACCTTGTCGACAAACTCTACACTGGAGCAGTGGTTTTGTTTTCGTTCTGGCAACCGCCAGCCATTCTGTTTTTGTTCTAGCCACCGCCAGCCATTTTGCACGAGGCAAATCCCCCCCCTTCCATTCCACGGTTTTCCAAAACGCCAGTGCAGTGGTTTTGTTTTCGTTCTGGCCACCGCCAGCCATTTTGGCTCGGTTGTCCTGAGAGTCTGAATTCTTCGCAGAGCCCCGCGTTGAGAAAAAGTTGGAAATAAAGAGAAAAAGAAAGGGAATGACCTAAATCGGTTCGTAGACTTAAAGCCACCAGTACATCTGCGCCTCCTTCACACAATGCAGGTTCCCCCTGCGTGCCAAAGTACATCTGCGCCTCCTTCACACAATGCAGGTTCCCCCTGCGTGCCAAGCTTTGCGGAAACACCAGCGCAGCATTTTTGTTTTTGTTTTGACCGCCTCCAGCGCTTTTGGTCCAGTTGCCCTGAGCATCCGAATTCTTCGGCGAGAACCCCTCATTTTTCTAAGGTTGGCTGGGGCCATGTCCGGGTTGAGTAAAGCCATGGTCTTGTTCCACCAGTGCGGACGCACGAAGCAAAACTCCAGGCGTTAACTTTGTCTTTTCAAGAGCTCCATGTTAGGCATCACTTCGCTAGTGTTACACTGAGCTCTTCAATGATGCACATTATCATGCAAGGTGCGGAGGCTGTCATGACAGCATACATTTTTTACAATGCTTGCATTTGCATCTCACTCTTGGGTGATGAACTCATGAGCTTGTCTACACTGGACCACAGACATACAGAAAGGAAGACATATTGCAAGCAGTGCACAAATTTGATATATTTGGGACAACGTCCAACGGATAGCAGATCAACAAGAAACGGAAAAGTCAACTCACTCGGATGAGCTGAACCTGCTTAAAATCGCCACAGTCCTGGAGGAAAAACTGGCAGACCTCCCCCTGGGCATCACAACATCCCTCGGCTGAGATCTATAAAACGGCCCGCCAGTTTATTTCGTCCAAAATGTGTCGAGCTGACCTGCCAGGAGCCCCTTGTGCACCGGCACAAGCCTCGCTCGGGCCACAGGGCAGCGATCGTTTGATTGCAACAATGCTCATTCACTTCGATTCCCAATATCACCATGCCTCCTAGAGAATGTTCGAGCACAATGGGCATCGCCCGCGACATCTCGTAATCTAGTCCTGCTGACTTGCAGCCAGCAGTGTGCTCAGACAAGGATCATAATGTTGACTACAACAACCGCCGACCAGTCAACGATGCGGCGCCAAAAAAGGATGAAGAATCTGTCCTGCAAAGCATGCAAAAGCAGGCCTCCGATCCCCGACGCATAACCACGCTAGCAATATCTGTGCACACGTAAAACCAACCGCATGTTTTCTCACCCACATCCACAAACACGCGCAACATGAGCACTACACAAAAGTGGAGACTGTTCCACAAACTGAGCTCCAAGCTAGCTAACATTCCATAGGCCAAACACATGGAGCGGCGTAAATACAACTCTGTCGTTTTCAACCTTTTTCCAGGTAGCGGAACGTCGTACGGTGCAATTTTATCAGCTTGGCACCGCCATCCAAGGACAACAAAGACGACGCAGAAAAAAAAGTGATCTGGCTGGGCTTAGGCCGATTAGCCAGAACAAATCAGGTAAAATCATCGAAACAAGAACAAATGGCACCTGCCAATGCATCCATCTCCTCATGGATTGATTATAATCCTCCAGGATTAGAGTATAGCCTTGCTATTCCTTGTTGCTAATCCTCTAGCAACCTTGCAACACCCCTGCCCAGCCTGATACTCCACTTGGGGCTTTCCCAACAGGCAGACCTAAATCACCAAAACATCCCACCTCCGAGACTGAAAACGGAAGCAGCGAAATCAAACAAGGACTCAGCAAAGCGGCATGCTGAGACCCATCCGGTGCACAACATGGGGTTACCTAAAGAAGCACACAAGTCCAGTCACAACAGTGGATGTAGCTCACAAGTGTACCACCATAGTTTTCTCATCCGGCGAGCACACTACAATTCATCTCGCGAATTGTGCTGCCCTTCCTCCCACCACCTCCCCTTCTGCCTTCAAAACCATACCATAGCGCAGTCAGAGAGAAATTCAACTAGAACTTGTGCCCTAGAGCGGAAGGAGCAGCCGTTGCACCACAGCCAATCTGAAGTGCTCAGTGATGTTCGGTCCCCACCACATCCATGTCACTCAAATCTCCATGGAGAGTCTACAGCTGAAGAATGGCAAGCTTGGTTCCCTTCTCCACTAAACATAGTACAAAATGCATTCTAGAACTTCCAAGGCACAAACAACGAGTGAATTGTTGTCAGCAAAACGTCGCCCACACAAATAGACGGAGCTCCTCCTTGCAGACATGCAGCACCACTGTGCTTGCTCTGTCATGAGCAGACCAAACCTGCGCCTCAACCCATTTCACCAACTCATCAGCAACTCCATCTACAACCCATGTACAATCCATTACTAGCTCACCCCAAGGTTCATCATTCCAGTCAAAGGCCACACCAGATCGCTCTGCCTTCCCCCACCCCCAACCTTTGAGCAAACCTGCAAACCTTTGGAACAAGAAAGGCAAACGCAGAGTGGAAGTAGAGGGGATGTACGGGTGAGCGGTCAGCAGACACCCCCTCAAGATATATCTTACCGCTCTGTCAGGCCACATCGCCCGTCGTGATCCTTGCTTCAGAGCCTTTCAGCCGCCGAGAGCATCAATCACCTCTACACTGCCTCTTGCTCAGGAATCCCCTTCCGTGTTTCATCTTCTTCCATCGCTCTGCGTGAAGTCAGACGAGCCATTATTGCATTTCCAAAGAAGTACACAAGCCAACAGACGAACGAAGAGAATCACTGTACCTCAAAAGTACTCCCGCCCCATCCTCGCCCCCTCATACGTGCAAGGCTTCTTGCCATCTGATAATAAAGACAACTTCGTTAGATGTACATTGCACAGCAGCACCTGAGCGCAAACTGCTGTCTATGAGGGGCCCAACATGTGCAGGCCAGCAGCTCCCCTACCTAGTATGATGTCCACTGTGGTCACAAACACTTCCTTTTCTTTTGGCGTGTCTGGAACGATATGCTCACCTTTGGCCTCGGCGGCTGCTCTTTCCCCAGAGGTCATGAAAGGGTCATGAAAGGGTCATGAAACCGTCATAAAAGGATCAAGACACCACGACTCCATAGTGGCAACACCAACCACTTCGACAGAAGCGGTTCACAGAAGGGTAAATATGAATAATCACAAGTATCAAAAACTTGAGATGCGACTCTCCTCAAGAAGGGGCTTGATTGTCCATCATGTGGCAATATACCTTGTCTAATCATGAGATGGTCGCTCCGCCAAAGCAGCAGCAAGAATCTCACTCATTGTACGCGTATTAACCAGGTCTGCCCCACCACCACCACCACCGCTGTCCAGCATCTGCTCATTAAAAGCAAGTTTCCGCTGCCCGATGCGAAGGATGTTCTCATCCACTGTCCCCTTTGTGACCAATCTGAAAAGACAGAGCAACACCACAGGCACATATGGTTGGAACTTGAAAGGACTCTCCCTTCTGCGACTACTGTGGAGGCGTAACTGCCAAACAACCTGTAATCAAACTCCGCAATCAACCAAAAGCATTCGCAAACAAAGCCCCCACTGACCTACGATGCTCATGTATATGTGTCATCCATCTCTGGTGTGGCTACAAGACAGCACATATGGACAGAAGGTTCATGCTGCACAAAGAGCTCCAGCCGAAAACGTCTGACACGACCCCCACAGATCCACAAATAACTCATCCCCTAGGAATCCCACCCATGACAAAAGCCCAGCCCGTCCACGAACACTGCACAAGCCAGACCCTACACCATGAAACTTTAGCACAACATCACTTTTTCTCACTTTTCTTGCTCCAACCAATGCTTTCAAGCGAGACATCGAAAGATGTCATGATGCTCCTACTCTGATGGCAATCCCTTTGCCATTCCTCACGTGCTCCCGCCCAGCAGGCTGTGAGAAGTACACCCACAGTAAACACTCTCTAAGCATCCTCGTGAAGATCTTGTGGCAACAGCAGCCACAACCAAACCCGGGCACCGTAGGAGGAGGCCCACTATTCCCTTTCGAGATTAGCAGAGATGTTCAGACATCCAAACCTTGAGCATTACAGCACATTATATGATTATACTATTATTGTATAGTGAATTGATTGGTCTCGAGATCTATTTCTGCTTTTCAAATTTTTGTAGTCAATCCCTCTTCATGAGATTGTTTGAGCCAATTCCTCTCCATGAGAATGTTTGATATTTGAATCGATGAACATGTCGAGTCGATTAATTGACAGTCGCCACTGAATTCATCTTGGCAGCACCGTCAATAGCACCACTGCAACCATTAGAGTCGGGCGCTGAAACACCAGCATATATCCAGGACACAGCCCAGAGATGCACACGCACCTGTAAACCGTCACAGGCTTTGTCTGGCCAATACGATGACACCTGTCTTCCGCCTGTTTATCCACTTCTGGATTGAAGTCCATGTCATGCAAAATTACCGTGTCAGCCCCTGTCAAATTCAACCCTTGTCCTCCAGCCCTTGTTGAAAGGATGAAACAGAAAATGGAAGTGTCGTTATTGAACTCGTCAACTAGGCGCTGCCTGTCTGCTGTCTGCGTGCTGTTGACATAACCCGCGACACAAAAACAGCACACACACAAACACCCCCCCATGCATATGCACAATCTAAATGCAAACACCC